GCTTGAGGTATCATATTTCATTCACTTTATTTTGGTCCATTACGAAAATATGAACTAAATGATGTATGTAGGTCGATAAGGTCCATTATTCCAGTCGTTTTTTAAGTCTAAAAACAAAAGTTAACTGTAATGTTTTTTATCAAAAGAACAATGTATATTTCCCACATATTATCAGTACATTGTGAAATACAGTAGTAGTAAATAGCAGCAACAGAATTTACAATAACCTTTGTGGATAGGCAAAGGCCTATCCCTTCTCGGATGCCAGTTCGTAAGCCGTTAGTCGTTCCAACAACCTGTTCAATACAGCGATAGAATTTAATTTCAAAATTAATTTTATACTTACATAGTTCTGGTCGGTGGTAGGTATATAACTTTTATACAGCGGTATTTTATTTTTTAATAAGTTTCGGAGAAACTTTAAAGAACAAAATATGTAAATTTCTATGAGAAGTTTGTTAATTGTGTGTCGACCTTCTGTAGATTCGGCCAATCCGGATTTTCACACTCAACAAGTGTTCTGTCTAGGCTGAAACGTTTGCCTCGCCGCATAGGTGACTTCGTTTTCCGAGTAGGCCAGTAACAAAGATAGGATGTCGACGAACCTAAAGTACTGCATAGGTTCGCCGGCCATTCGCTGCGCTACTACCCGGCAGGTCTCATCAACATCTTCTTCTGTTTGTCCAACATTACCAACTTGGTCAATTCGTTCCACCGCTCCTGTACGCCTTCCAGTAGATTACTGGCAGTTCTCACAAGCCGTTCTCCGGTGTGGCCGGCAAAGGTCCATCAGCGTCGCCTTGGTAAAGTACGATAACCGGAGTAGGTTTGACTGGTGCCGGGTCCCACCATTTATTTGTATTTATTAAAATCTTAAATTTTGGTTCAAATTGATTTTAATGAATATTTTAAGAACCTAATAGTAATCTAGTCTAAACGCCGTAAGATCTTGATTTCATTTGGATGCGGTTTTCTATAGTCCAGTATAGTGTATATCACGTTATAAAACAAGCTATTTAACTTTTCATAGTTAAATTTTAATAAAGAAACCTTTTCCGTTGTATTTATTGGACGAATTTCAATTGTTATTTTTTATGTGAAGCATACTAATTTCCATATGGGTTCTAAAAGACCAATTTTTGCACCTAATAACTATTTCGATTCAGAGCCGAAATTGCGCCCTTCCCTCTTTAATTTCAATTTCTATATTTTGTGGTTTTTCATCAAAGTACATAGCAGCAACAGAAGTACAGCAATTACCACAACAGCAATTTACAATAATCTTTGTGGATAGGCAAAGGTCTATCCATTCTCGGATGCCAGTTCGTAAGCCGTTAGTCGTTCCAACAACCTGTTCAATACAGCGATAGAATTTAATTTCAAAATTAATTATATACTTACTTAAGTTCTGATCGGTAGTAGGTATATAACTTTTATACAGCGGTATTTTATTTTTTAATAAGTTTCGGAGAAACTTTTAAGCACAATACATGTAAATTTCTATGAGAAGTTTGTTAATTGTGTGTCGACCTTCTGTAGATTCGGCCAATCCGGATTTTCACAGTCAACAAGTGTTCTGTCTAGCCTTTCGCCGACTTCGGGTTTTGACTTCAACTCGATGCGAAAATCCTGGTTGACGTGGAACTGTTGATTTTGCACTTGTGCAATCACATCCACACTGAGCAAATGGCTGTCCATTTCGTCAGGAGAATTCCAACTGACTTTATGTAATGTTGGCTGACACGTGTTTCCCTAACATTATGGAATAAACGACTAACAGTTATGGCAGTAATGAAATCAACAAGCCGTTTAAATACGTATGTACTATGTATCTGTATTAAGAGTATTGACCATTTACCATTGCTGTTATTACATCTGTATGAACCGTTTCAGTGCTAAAAAAAAATATTTGTAGATAATATATTTACTTATTTTTGCTGTTGTGCCTTTGAAAAAACATCTCTTATAACAGCTATAATTACCATGTATAAACCGTACTCGACTGTTATTGTGTTGTTAGTCGTTTATTCGATTATTTTGGGGACAGTCATTTGCACAGTGTGGGTCTGATTGCACATGGGCAAAATCAACAGTTCCACGTCAACCAGGATTTTTGCATCGAGTTGAAGTCAAAACCCGAAGTCGGCAAAAGGCTAGACAGAAAACTAGTTGACTGTGAAAATCCGGATTACAGAAGGTCGACACACAAGTAACAAACTTCTCATAGAAATTTACATATATTGCGCTTAAAAGTTTCGCCGGAACCTATTAAAAAATAAAATACCGCTGTATAAAAGTTATATACCTACCACCGACCAGAACTTGTAAGTATAAAATTAATCGTCGTTGTATCATTTATGTATTGTGCAGTTAAATACGCGCCACTGTGGTTTGGATCATACTAATAATATATAACGTAGGGAAAACTATAAAATATTGAAAAATATAAAAATACCAGCTACTTTCTATCCTTTTGTACTAAAATAGTTTATTATCTACTGTCTGTTCTATCTTTAGTTTATCTTTTTGTTCGTAGACTCTTTCGAGAGTCTTTTTTTCGTCTAATCCATTTTTAGCATATAATACAAAAAAACTATAAACTATTTTTTTTTTGTAAATTTTTACTGTTCTTGTATAGTCATAACAGGTGGTATTTAATCAAATGGTGTTTTTCATATTTTGCTTGCAATGCTATAGTCATTGTGAATAATACAATATACCAATATATTGATGTACAATAAAAGGGATTTTTGTCAAACGCTGAAATGTACAAAATAGGCAATCGCTATAACTTTTGTAAATATATAAAAATACAAACAACCAGACGAAATACGTTTAAAAGAAAACTGTTTTTTTTATACTAGCACAAAAATATATACCTACTCTGTTTATACAACATCTTTTTGAAAACATGTTACCAACTAATAAAAAATGTTCGATATTCGAACTCGAACAATTATTATTAACAACTATGAAAACTAATTAATTAGCTTACAATATATTCGAGTACTTAATAGAAAAATAGATAATAAACACATTGTGGTAGTTTTTTTATTATTTTTAACGAAAATTTAGTCTGATTTTTAGACTTTATGTTCCAAAAGCACAAAAGAAAGAAAAATATTCTACCTCATCTAGGGGACAAGGTTTCAGATATTTCAGCTTCGGACGAAGGTATTGGTTTACAGTTAAGTGGAGTTTTTTTGTGTGTATGTTGTTTTTTTTTTATACTGGACGGACTTCTTCAAGTCAAAATTTTTTATTGGTTATTCGAGTTTTACAATCAACGGGTTATTGCTTGGAAACACGCCAGAGAGACAAAAGACCCAGAGTGCATTTATGAAAGTATTCGAATGGTGTTCAATGTGATTCGGTCTATCTTACCAAAACCTAAAATGTTTACTCTACTTTAATTTTTTGCTTTTGTGTTAAAACTAATTTTCAATAAGGGTTTTTTTATCACGCTGTAAAGTAATACTATTATGATTTACGTGGAATCCCAAACGTTTTAAATATTAACAGATTGATATTGAATTTGAAAAAAGACAACGTGTACAAATGACTAGGCCACACGTGGTCGTTTTCTGTATATTATACAATTTATTTATTAAGACTTGAATATATTTTGCAAATATTCAAACGATAAAGCAGTTGAAAAAAAAACGTATAAAGACATCTGTGTATACAACTCCAACGGTAGTATATCTGATTCTAGAATATTGTCAGCTTATAATTTATTACTAGTGAAACCTTCGATTTTCTGAGCTATTATAATAGCAAGCACTCACACCAACACAAAAAAAAAAAAAAATTCGATCGACTAGAAGTAAAAAGCAGTATAAAAAGCCCAAAAAATGGGTTTCCCCAAAAATATCAATAAGTATTAGTAGTTATTATTTTGCACATGTCAAATAGTATTAAAATGGTGTTCGAAATGTAATCAAATCATGTAATATATTTCAATGTACCTCACAGGTTAGTGAATGCTAACATTGAATGGCTATGATATTAAATAAAACATTTTTTTGTGACCAATACCATTTGTTTAAGATTCCCATTTTCGAGAGTTTCAAAAAATGAACAAATCTTGATCCATTAAAAAAAATAAAACCGAAACTCAAATTTTGTATTACATTTTATTTTCACGCTTTTGTTTAAACATTTTTAGCTTCGATGTGAGCTATTTTTGTTTCTGTATACACTGTAACTTTTTTAACACTGGACAAATTCCTTCGAGTAGCAACTCAATAAATCACAAATTTCATCTAGTTGGTACTTTAGGGCGGATTTGTAAATATTTTAATAAATTCGGGTTTTCTAAAAAAAATCAAATGATATAGCGCAGTAGAAATAAAAACACATCTGTGTACACAAAAGCTGATTCGACAATATTGTCAACTTATGGTATACTACTAGTACGACCTTCGATTTTCTAAGCTCACAAAAATGAAATAACGTTAAAAGTTGAAAATATTTTTAAAGCAGTATTTCAAAAAAAGTAACAAATGATAAGGAAAAATCCCCTAAAAAGTTGGTTTGACTCATAATAACAATTGGAAGTTATTTTTTTATATATTGATGACCAGCCATAAATTTATTATTCAAATTTTAAGGTGAAAATATTAAAAGTTTATATGTTTCAATTTAAATCAATGTAGTATTATTTTTAATTGCTCGTACCACCTAACCGCATTGTCCCTCCTGACATAACTCTTAAACTCTTATAACTTTAAAAATAGTATAGTAAAAAGAAAACAATTTGTAAAAAATTGAGATCACATTATTAGAAAATACTAAGAAAAAAAAAAATTTTTTATAAGACCCTATGAGATATTGAGTGATTAACGACAAAATAATTACCCTGTATACTCGTGTACTTTTTATATACTTGTGCAAAATGCAATTCAAATTTCACACCTAAGAAATTCAATAGTCATCATATGTGTAGTACTCATATGATTTATTGTAGTTTTTTTTTCCAATGCTATATAAAACAGACATTCAAAGACGGTAAAATGCATTCATTCTGTCTCAGAGTTTTACTTCAGATTTTGATTCAAAGAATAACACAATGATACTTAGGTTTTCTATTGTGGTAATATGTTTTATCGTAGGTGAACTTGCACAGAGACCTGACGATGAGGTAATTTATACTACTATTTTAAATCTACTATTATTAGGTTTTTGTCGATATTTTTCTGAAACATTTATAATAACATAAAGGTTAATTTTTTAGCTTAATACCCTTTCTAATCTAGGAAATTATTATTATTTTTGCTTAAAGACTTACAATTATTAAATTTCTTGTTATAAATATTTATAACCAAAATAAGTTTTTAATGATCTTTGTTAACATTTTATTTTCGATATTGTTATAATATTGAATTTAAGTTACAATGGTAATTTAATCATCTGAGTTAAATTAATTCATATGATACATTTTTTACTTAACAAATTGTTTAGCAAAAAAAAAAGATTTATTAATTATACTACTCTGTAAATGATTAAATAAATCCGAACTTAATAAATAATGTATCCTAAATAAAATACATTTTTTTTTTAATAAATTCGGCATAATTATTTAAACGCCATCGCTTAAGGGTTTGACTTTGAATTAAAGTATACTTGCGTTACACAGAAAATAATGAAGCACTGTCTAGATAAATGTGTATATATTATATATATTAATATGAATAATAAAACATTAAAGCTTATAATCAATTTTATTTTCAACAATTCAAGTATATATTTTGGGTTATAAAATATATTATAGCAACCAATGAAATAATCTTAAAATACATTTTTTTTTAAATTTCGGTAATAAAACATTAAAGCTTGTAATAATGTGTCACGTCACATTATTACCGTGCACTTGGCGAACCTACTTGCTACTACAATTGAAATTTTTTCTTAATTAATTTATAAAAAAACGACCATTTTTTTGGTTTAATTTAATTTTTAGAATCGAGTAATAAGTGTATAATTTTATTTTCAGTAAAAAAAAAACACGAAAATTATATTTCCCCCCTCCTCCAAAAAAATGATAATATTAATAATATTAATTAGCCCGTAATAGTTATAAGTATATTTATGTTAATGCGTATTTTGATTTTAAAATCGAATTTTTTATGAAATTAAATATTGATAATGTACAGGTTATACAAGATTCGTTTGATGATTGTCTAAAATGGACGAACCATGGCCAAGAGCCCACCGATCATGTTTTAACTGTGGATCTGTTACTCTATTATTTGGGTAATCACTCTCCTCGTGATGCTGATGTAATTGATTGTTACTTCGTGGACAATCCAAGTGCAAAGGGGAAAAAAGGTATACATTAACAGCTATAGTTATAGCGTTATACATATTATCCTATTATTACATACAATTTTTTTATCTTTGATGTGGAACTGTAAAGCTTTGGTATTCTCATTCACAGTTATTTAAATTAAAATACCTAAGTATGTGTCCTTTGTTTTTATTTTCAACAACACAAATTATCAATCGTTCGATGTTATCGAACAGTGTATGCGCCTTAAAAGTGTTTAACAATTATTAACGTTACCAAAAAAAAAAAAAATCATATAAAATATAATATACTAAATATTGGCGAGACCCAAAAATACGCTGAAAAATTTTAAATAAAAAAAACAATACCTTCTCAGCTAATATAAATTCTTTCAGCGGCAATATTGAGGTGACCACATCATACCATAATAATATAAAAATATGCATAATTTTGGATTTTTTTTTGTTTAGAAAATATAGATAAGGCACTATATGGTGCACTTTTACAACACTTTTGGAAAAAACAATACGCTACCATATCATTCGAAGTATTCGCTGAATTAAGGAAAAATGCAGGGTTAGCGAGGTCTCTTAAAGATATGCAAGGTTGATTTAAAAATCGGTCGAGCTATGATGATGAAATCAAAAGTAAAAATAAAGGTTATATGAAAATCCTTTTTTTTTAAAGTCTAATTGTATAATATTTAAAATATTAAAAACTTTTTAAAATGTTTAAAACTCTCGAAAAATGTTATTAAAAATACAATACGTCAAATATATAAAAAATTAATAAAATCAGTGACAGATTTTTTTTTTAAACTGATGGCACCAAATATTTCCCATTACGGGTGACTTTATACAACTCTTAGCTCGTGTAAGTAATATGCGAAAATAGTGTAGATAAGGCATAGAATAAAAAAGACAAAAAATAACTATGATAGTACTTCAAGTAAAAATATCAAGACGGATGTGCGCGGTGACAGGTAAACAACCATTCAGAATAATAATTGTAGTTATGACTAAAGTTTGATCTTTGATAGTTGGAATATGAATATCAACGAGTCTTACACCAGTTAGATCACCCTGCAGTATCAAATTATACATAATTTTACACAATGCAAAAATCATAAAATTTAATTACACTCATCAAATAAGTATGTATAAAATCGAAAAATATAAAAATATGTACGGAATTTGGTTTAACCGTCTGCAGCTTGAGCCGATGCTTCTGGCACAGTGATATCTGTTTCACTGTTCTCCTGACAACAGAAAGTCGCTTTCAATTTTCGTCATTAAAATAGTAAAAACTAAATATCAGAGGAAACCAACAACAGTATATTGTATCGACTTTGGTTTACTTACACTGTAATTTGTTACCGCAAGGTCGTCTTCAACGATGTTGGAATCTAATGTCACTTGAGCGGGAGCCTCGAAATATACACAACGAAAATCCTACAACAGTAAGGTGTTAAAAATATAAAATTTTAAAAACCACAGTTCGAGTGGTATAATTCGAACTTACATGATCTGCTGAACTGTAAACGCCAGTAATACGGATGTACATCAACAGCCTGGGTTTAAATTGCAACACCTGCCAAGACCGTGTCAGCTTTTTAGATTTGTCTACAAGCATTTGCCAATTCTGATTATCGACAGAAGCTTCAATAGTGTAACTGTACACTCGGTCATCGTGGTCCCAAAGCCGCATCCTGTCAAATTTAGCAATATTGTCTTTAGTTAAATTCATGAACAAAGGACTAAACATTTAACACTATTCTGATATTTAGTATTATTGTACAAGCTGGAGACTCGTGCTCTAAGAAGGGAATAAGAATCGAGACCTGCATAGTTTGAGTGAACTATTCCTAAGAGATATTTTTTATAAGCCGCGGATGAACTAAAGAGCTTATTTCAACGACCGGAAATGATAACAAACAATTGTCTAAAGAAGACTAATGCGAGCCTGGCAAGAATAGTGAAATTAATGCTATACGAATTGCAAGATATTTATATTATTACCTCATTGAACTTAGTATATATGGTTGTGCAAGATGAACCACTATAAAACCAGATCCCAGCAGATGATACGTATAAATGTGTACATTATCACAGTCTTTATAAAAGCCATGTAACATCGACTGGCTCCTTGAACCATTCTGTCCTTTGATTACTGATGCATTCATAGATCTTGAAGCGACGTTATACTTAGGAACTAGATTTAAATTAGTCAATTAGGAGTCATTCCACTCAATATATTACTGGGTTTAATTAATAATATAATTTTTTTTTCCATAATCTCAATTTCTGACACTTTTGTTTGTTTTTACCTTCCTCCCAACCTAAATGGTAACGCATACATTTCATTAACTTTTCAAATTAAGAATAATATACAAAACACTTTGACTGGTCGACAGCCAGTTTTGGAAAACTATTTTTAAAGTTATAACAGTTAAAACGTTAGAAAGGAGGGGAAGTGCGGTTGGGAAATACGCGTACATAAAAATAATACTACACCCCTCATGCCCTAAACTTAAAACTTCAATAACTTTAATAATAGTTATTCAAAACTCGTTATCGACCGGTCTAAATGTTTAGTACGATATTCTCAATTAAAAAAAAAAAATAATGAAATGTATGCGTTACCACCTAAGTTTCAAAAGTTGTTATCAAAAAACTAAATTGGGAGGGCGGAAAAACAAAAAAACAAAAAATGGTAAAAAATTGAGATCACATTGCATAAAAACATTGTGTAAAAAAAAATTAAATTTCTCATTTAACCCAGTAAGATATTGAGAGGTTCGCGATACATATATATATATATATATATATATATGTTTTATTCAAAGAATGAGCTACTTCGTAGGTTTTCTTACCCATTAATCCGTTTTTGATGTTCTATAGTAATAAGACAAATAGTTTTTACCCGCTATAGAAAAAAGGTCTAAAAAAATTAAATTAATGAAACAATTCAAAATACCTAAAATATTCGCTGCGTGAGGCTAATACACTACGATGGGTGGGCAATCGTTCTTCATCTACAACCAAAACAACATCTGAAAACCTGCAATAAGTAATAAAGTTACTTCATAATACTTTTTTTTTTAATACATAAGAATACAAAAAGTAATAATAGTTTATGTAGTTATAATTTCTGTTTAAGATAGTTGGCTAGAAAAATGTTCATACAATAATTGTTATCTTATTTTCTTATCTATCTATAAGTTCCTAGTGCAAAATGAAAAATAACATAAGCAATGAATAATTTATTTAATACATTATTGATGGATAAAAATTGTGTTCACAAACGAAAATATCAAAAAACGAATATTGATAATTGTTCAGATTTCATCCATGTTTTAAAATCCTGCATTTACCATCTTTATTCAATGTATAGGTTCAACAACAGACGTGTAATTATAATGTTTAACATCAACTAAATCATAACATCGTAACTAAATAACTCCAAAATAATAAAAATAATATAGTTTATAGGTACAAGTTCAATACTTGTCATTTATATGCAGATTGCTTGGTTCGCTGATTATAAAGTGAGAGTGATCGATTTGCTTGTTATTGCGCACTTTGGAAGACGAATGCCGCATCATATAACCTTTAGGATCAGAACATGCTAAATAAGATTTTTTAGACAAGTTTGTATAATTTATTTATTCGTGTAGCATTTACAAACCGTTAAATTACTAGGTCATAATTTATTATGCAGTACAAAATATATTATCTACCTGAATTAGACGTTAAAACGATAAAGGTTAATTCAAAAAACTTGTGCATATCCGTGACTTGTGTGTTAATATGATATCAAGTTCTTGAAAACTTTATGAAACGCTTAAATAAAATAAACTTTGATATTAGTAAATGAGAACCGATTTGTAGATGTATTTTAAATATAATATTGTACTATCTTCTTCAATACTTGATAGAATATAATATTAACGAATAATAATTGGGTTAACATATGGTGTACGGTTTTTTGTATAGGTACAAAAACATGTTATTGTTGTATATTGTTAAATAATAAACACAGTTTTGAGTCTGACGTCAGTGTTTTTAGTTATATCCACGATTTGTTTTTATAAACTGTTTTTTTATGTTATGAATTGTACGCTCAGATGCCAAAACGATTAAATCCACTTTTTTTCGAATAATAGCATGGTTGGATTACCAAAGTGTATAATTTTCAGTGGCCAAAATAAATACTTCCACAGTTGAATTTTTCACCACTAGAGTGCGCTAAGTACATTGGCAATTTCATTTTTTGGAGTTAATAAGTTTGGCTTCTGAGCGCCTCATATATTGTATTATATTAAACGTGTGAATTGTAACTAAAAAAATTGTAAATATTTAATGTGGCACCTATCTACATATTATGTATGATAGTTTCCTTATATTTATATCTATTTTTCGAAATGTCAATCTTATATATGTACATCTTTAGTACTGTAGGTATCTAAAAAGTAACCCAACAAATTTGAAGTAATTAGACTAGCTATTTTTCAAAAAGCTCGAGTGCAACGTTATTTAAGTTTAAAAATCTATAATGTGTTGGTGATTTGAAAGGGGGGGGGGGGGGCTGAACTGCATTGTGCCCTAATAAAGTCACATTAAGATATGGTTTCTAATATACAAACTTAAAAAATTAAAAATAGAAATCAGTAAATTAGAAAGAACTAATGTGAGTTAAGACACAAATATTAAAAACAATACTATAAAAACATATAATAAAAACAATACCTTTCCTGTTTTGCATCGACTCTAAAAATCTTAATTTTATGTTTTGATTTATATTATATTGTTATTACCTATTATAACGCAACGTAACCTAAATTGTATTTTATTGTGATTTTTATTGACACCTAACAAAAACTGTGTATATTCTTGTATTGAAATTATAAGTTTTTGAATTAGGTATAAAGGTTAATATTCAAAACAATAGCTTTACGTAGAGCTGATAGTCTGAAATTCAAACTAAACAAAATCATTGATAGATGAATATAAAAATATTACGTTTAGTAAAATAAGCAACCTTTACTCTAGTCACCTTAATTACCATATTATTCTGTGATTTTTTATTATTTCAGATGTCATATTTTAGTGAAAAATTTGGGGGGGGGGCATTTAATTAACACGAGAAGAGTAAAATTTAAAATTGTAGCTATTCTAAACTACACAACACATAAAATAATGAATAATAATGTAATAATAACGAATCTACAATTTTAAGGCGGACAGTAAGATTACATAGCCAATCTATTGCCTCTTAATCGCACCTATGTAATCCATTAATGCTTCCCTCATATCTCGTTTCGGGGCATTCTTCTACAATGTGTCTGATTGTCTAAGTTTGCCCACAGTTGCAATGTGGCGAATCTTGCATTTTCCTTTTATTCTATGTGTTGTTGTTGGAACCCAAATAGTTGTTAACTAGTTGTTATGCATTTTTATCAAATCAGATAATATGGTATGGCTTCTATAAAGTAAGCTATAAAATATCTGTTGTATTTTTTTAAAACCTATAAATTTGTACATACACGAGCAATCTACATTTTTGCGTCGAGTAGAAAAACATATTTTTTATTTTATATTTGAACAATAAACGTTCACATTATTTCCTCTACTTATTTACAATGACTTTAGATGTTCAAGAGGCCCTCGGTTGTTTTCAATTCTTGACAAAGACTACACGACGTTATAAAATGTGTATTATAAACTATACTATGTATTATGTATGTACCTCTATACCTAGGACATATTTTGTATTGCTAGGAAATGTATCAATATTTTCGTAGTCTGTATTAAAAATCAATATACGTATGGAAAAACCGTAAAAACCGTTTGCAAAGTATGTTATTTCCCGAATTCTAGCAAATATAGTAATAATTTTTCCAACCGTCACATCAGTCCCGTGGAGCTGAAATAATAGTTATTAAACAATTTACATCAGCTTCAAATAAATCACGTTTTGGCTTACTATGAAAGCTCCACTTCAATAGCGGAACTTTCACGGTATTTTTTGTCCCTGAAAATTATGTTTCAGCTAGAATAAAAAAATATAATACCTATTTTACATGTAATAGATTTATAGCCTACCCCGACGGAAATCAAATTCCGCAAGAAGGGTAGGACAATCTATGGTTCCACAGAGAAGGTTTTGAAGAAACTTAGGAACCCTAATAAAAGTTTTAGGAACCCTAACGTTTTCAAAGCTTTACAAGACGTAGATTCAATATGCTTGTGGAAACTAAGATTATCGTAATTAGTTATACCTAATTTTGTTTTGTAGTGGAAAATATTAACAGGAAAGCCCCTTATCGTATACGTAAAACGTATAGGATGGCGAGAGCGGGAGAAAGACATTAACTCTCATTTAAGGATATTGATGTGTAAACCACGTTCATTTAACCAGCACACAAGCGAATTAAGATGATTTTGAAGCATATAACAGTCATAAAGGGAATTCATTTTGATGGCAACGATTTTATTAATTAAAGTTTCATACACAAAAATTAATCAAATGCATTAAAAAACAAATCGGTTTTTGGCTGACACGTTCCTTTTATATTAGATTTTGTTACAGTGCACTTTTCCTCATATCGATGCATCTTTTTAGAGTATACTCTGGGTGATGTATTTCGCAATAGTGCTTTACAAGTTCACTATATAGTTTCAAACCTATATTTTCTAAAATAAAAAAAACAAAAATGTTAAATTATAATATAAATAATATATTATTTTATAGAGATATGGTGTGGTGCGAAGATCACCTCAGTTTTCGACGAAACAGTTTAACTAAAAATTGGATTGTTTTTACAATGATGTGTTTTTATTTGTTTAAATTTGCATCCGGACTAAAAGGTGGACATTGTTTTTTACTATTTATTTTAGAAGATAATTTTGGGTCCCACCAGTTTTTAGTAATGTACATAGTATGATATTTTTTTTTTGTCACTTTTAACATCTTCAAGACGTTAATTGTTTAACACTTTCAAGACGTATACACTGTTCGATTAATAATTTTTGTTGTTAAAAAGAAACAAAAGATACATAGTTAGGTATTTTAATTCATATTAGTGCGAATGAGAATAATTCCTTAAAACCGACGTCCTTACATTTTCGCTTCAAAGATAAAAAAGATATTATGAAATTATGTAAAAACTTTTATAGTTAATGTTTACCTTTGTTTTCCATTGCTTCTGGACAATCATCGAAGTATTTATTGATGACCGCAATATCTTCTGGGTGGGAAATAACCATATACTTCAAAAATTGATCCGAGGTAATATGTGACTCAGATAAGACACTCATGTAGTCTTGGACCGTCCGATCTTCCTGATATCTTAACCATTTTAAACAATCATTGAACGAATATTTCGTAATCTGAAATTTTTTTATCAATACAAAGTTGAATTCCATAAAAAATACGATTATAAAATTTAAATGCGCACAGACCTTCATACACGTATAACTTACATGCTAATTAACAAACAATTTTTTTTTAATATATTTTATTTAAAGTAGCAGGTATGCCAAGCACACTTCGTATTATTACAAGCTTTAATATTTGATTACCCAAACTAATAGAATTGAAACGATTTTTAAAGGTATTTTATAGGTTGTTAAAATATAACACAAATATAGGGTAATAATTTTATCTTGGATCAATTAATATCTCATAGGGTAATATCTCATAAGAAATAATTTGTTTTTTTTTCATAATTTGAGAATAGTGTACTAAAAATAGTAGTAATAGTTTTAGTTAATAGTCTAAACTAGTAATAATAGTTTGAAAGTTAGGATGGGAGGGGAAGTGTTGTTGGAATGTGCGCCCAGCTAAAAATAATGCTACTCTCCAAATTTCAATATCATCAAAAGTAGTTATCCAAAACTGGTTATCGCCAAGTCAAAACTTTTAATACATTATTCTCAATTTAAAAAATTAATAAAATGTATGCGTTACCATTTAAATTCCAAAAATTGTGAAGAAAAAAACTAAGTTGGTAGGGGGGAAAACATAAAAGAAAAATAGAGATAACATTGTATGAAAATATTATTAAAAAAAAATGTTATTTCTTACTAAACCCTATGAGATATTGAGTGGTTTGAGATAAAATATTGACCCTGTATACTTTAGCTGTTGAAAAATAAATTATTATTATAAACTTTAATCTTAACTGCTTCTTTCCTATCGTCAGCGTAATCTTGTAAGCTTATGTGTTTGCTGTTGCAATAATGTTCAAATATTTCTTCGAATCGTTTTAAATTTAAAATATCTAAAACAAAATGAAAATTTTGAATTTAAGTATAAATAATAATACGCTATAGTAGAGGCATGGTTTAGTCCAGTGATCACCACTGTTGTTGATGAAACAAATTATTTAGGCACAAAATGTGTTGTTCTTACAATGATGTATTTTTTTTTTCTATATTTGTGTCCGGACTAAGGAGCAGACATTAATTTTTTATTTTACTTATAAAGCGTATATTTGGGTTTTATTTTTTATAATATTACTTATTTTGTGTATATTATAAACATTTTTTTGGTAATTTTTTTTTTCCGGCCGTTGATTGTTAAACACTTTTAAGATGCACACAGTGTTTGATAACATCGAAATATAAATAATTTAGAACTTTATGAAGGTCTTTATGACTTTAAGAAATTATGAAAAACTACACAAAAGTTATTTTGGTATTTAAATTTATATTAATGCGCATCAGAACACTTCCTTCAAACCAATTGTTTAACAGTGTTGCATCAAAGATAAAACAATTTTACTCAAATAAATATAACGTATAACAATGTAGCTAATGTTTACCATAATCTTCTCTTTTTTTTTTTGTATCTTTTTCGAAGAAATCATGCATGATTTTTAAATTTTCATCGGATTTGTCCATATACTTCATAAAATGATCCATTGTAATAACAGTTCTTTCACGCCGTTCGTTTTCGATGAACCGTTTTAAACAATCATTGAACAAATCTTTTATAATCTGAAATTATTTTATCAATACAAAGTTAAAATCCATAAAAAATCCGATTATAAAATTTAAATACGCATTGTCGGTAAAATAAAAATAAAATTTATATGAATTGTTCTTTAATTAATCGAAGAAACATTCCAAAAATAGGGTACATTTACACTTTGGCCGTAGTTAGTTTTTAGGTTGCTACGTGTGAGTGAATCAACAGTCAACGGGTAATGAAAATATTTCTACGATATTGTTAATTACGATATACGGGTAACTATGACAGTACATTTTTATAGTGAGACGATCAACCCCTATCGCATCCACCCTGCACAAGACTAAATATTAAATTTTAAGTACATTTTTGCTGGTCCCACGATATCTCCTAAACCGCTATAATACCGCGATCATGCTTCACCTGACCGTTACTTCGCGTCCCAAACCTACTGACACAGCACCCTATAGCACCCCCGGCTATAGGCAGGGGAACGGTCGCACACACAGGACAATGCACGTCGCGTGTCATCTTATTGACTTTACCATCACGGACCGCCAATATCCTCGACCTTGCGCTCTATATTTTTGCCGTTTTACTACAAGTCGCCCATCCGACTATCTTTTTGTGTGCGTCCGTTTCGACTCCGCTTTGACCAACCATTTCATCGCCGGACCCAGGTCAGAGTGTATAATTTTGCATTTTATTTAGCAACCCTAATTTGGAATAAAACATCTTGCGGCCTGCAGCTGAGAGTTAGATTATTTAACACTGTGACCGCCCGTTCTAGCTCCTCGGGCGATATATTAAGTTAATAAGGGAGACGACTTTAAGGCCGATTAAACGTAGACAGCGGCCTAGCCAATCGTTTTCCCGTGGGGATCCATCTATTTTAGCCTTGTCGACGGCCAATTTGTCTAGTCTAGCCAGCTAGACAAGTAGGTCCTTTACAATACTATCCACAGATTCGCATCGAAGCGTTTATTTAAAAGTGATTTTATCATTTTCAGTTATGATCAAATCTGTAGACCTGTGACCTCTCCGTCCCCACTATGCCCCGACCGCGCTGTATTTACCTTACATTCGCATCGGTATGAAAAACATACGTATCATGAGTAATAATAATACCCATAAAAATACTTAATAATGGTCTGTGTAGCCGTATTTTTCGCACTTTTAGATGCGTTAGTATATATTAGACATGCGAGTGTTTTTTTTTTACCGTTGTTTTTGGTGCCTCATTTTTCAAAGTATTTTTCGGCACGTGGTGAACAACGTTTGATCAACTGCCCGTAAAAAAACACTTCTCTAAATCAATACACAACCACAAAAACAATTTTATAAATTTTAAATTCAGCACACGCTACGGTGTTGGAAAAAAAATTGAAATCTACATGATTTTCAATATAAAATACGTATGATTAATTTTTGTACCCTCAATGGTTCTTAATATATTTATGTAATATTACATTTGTTTTTTCCCTCCCCTCTATTTTTGGATAGTAAAAAAGTTCAACTCTTCTGGGTGCCGGACGTTCGGGTATCTTTGGTAATGAAGATGCAGATAAGCTAGCGTTCTCTACCACCCTCTTCTCCTATCCCTCCTCCTTTCGAATTATACAGACAGTTCCGGAATAATAATTATCTTTAGTTGTTTTTTTTAACCGTAGTTTTTAGAATTGTAGTGTAAATCTATTACAATAAGTAAAATCCGTTTTTTTTATTGTAACAGAAAAATCGTTTTCAGTGACAAAAAATACTGCGAAACTATGAAAACAATAATATGCAAAAATGTTATAAAAGCAAATAGAAGTATATCGACTTGTACCGAACAAAAAAATATATTTCTTTTTTATATTTTGGTATATGCGACATTTGTACATATAAGAACTATTACAACAACAACAGCAGAAAACACAAAAACAATTTCGTTTTACCGGCTAACGAATAGATTTTAAATTCAAACCTACGCTTTGATAAAATATCTGTTTAAACTTTTACATTATAATGCAAATTGAAAAAAAATTACAATAATAACTGCTATAATACTAATAGAGCAAAAATTATTCAATTTGATTAGGATTACATAAGCGTGGAGAAAGTAGTGAAATTTAGAATTTTGGATTTAATGCTAACTATATTTGATTAGCTCTTTAGAATGGTATTTTAAAATGATGAACAAAACAAAATTTTGGGTTGGGGAAAATATTATTTTCTCTCTGGCGAAGTTGAGAAAATTGAAAAATACTCAAAAAGGTTTGCAACCCTGTTAAATCGAAATGTTAAATTGATCTATATTAACTTTTTTCTTATTCCAAATGCTACTATGAATGTTTACTGATAAACTGGATCTTCTTTATAAAAAGAGGTAATAGGATTTGGGATTTGTCTTTTTCTCCCGGACGGATTTTTAAAGTTGTTTAACGGTTTACCGTTTCCGCCATACAATATATTATACATTTATGGCTACAGACCACATAGCTGTAAGTCCGTCAACTTTATGTATAGGCTCGTTAATAATAAGGCTTTGTTAAGAAATTATGCGTAAGTTCCTTTTGTAGTTGAACAAAGGTATTTTGTTGCTCTATGTACTGCTGTTTGATTATGTAAACCAGCTGTTTATATAATTACTAAGATAATGAAACTGAAAAGAGATAAAATAATATCCATTACAAAGCGCTATCGAGTCAGCTCAAAATGTATGCAAAAGCGTCGAACTAAACATTAAATCATGATATAAAATTTCTTCGTATTCCTTGAGTAGTATATTGACTACTTCCGCTAACCTCACCAAGGGCCGGCGTTAGGGGGGGGGAGGGGCAGGCGGGACTCATGCCCAGGGCCTCGCGCTTTTTAGGACCTTTTGGTAACAAATAACTAAAAATGCATTACCTACCCACTTAGTTCATCTAGTTGTTGTATAACTTAAGGGAAATATAGACTCTAGTCTATGCATTAAAATTAAATTGTAAAATTATATACTTTTGAAAATTGGACAATTGTAGGTATAGTACATTTTTTTGAACGAGTCACGCAAAATTCTCAAATCTGAAAATAACACCTAATCTACAAAATACGCTCTTATACGTAAAATACTATTTCTTCAACAAATTTCTCTGATTAATAAATTGTCTACGTTTTTCACCCCCGTAGGGCCGCATAAAGCTAATAAATATCCACTCTGTATATTATATAAATTTATGTGACAAAAACATATAAAACGCTCAATTTATTTAATATGTTTTTTAATCGAGACTACTATAAGACAATTTTAATAAAGAAAAAGATTATATTATGTGGATAGAATTTTTTTAAGAAAATTATCTTTGACTTCTCAAAGTCGATTTTTTAATAAATATTTATTTTACTTTAAAAAAAAAACAAGGCAATAAACACTAAAAATTTGAGAAATTAAAAAAGAATTTTAAAATAATTAAGCTGAAAACTCAAATATTTTTTTTAGAATTGAAATCGGAGCATCTAAGTAGCTCTAAGGCGGGATTTATATAATTCAAACCAAATTTTTCTTTTTATTAGTAATATAAGCTTATATACTATTAAAATCATACATAATAATAATTATTATTATCAAACTATAGAATTATAAATATAATTAATTTTTTTGGGTAGCTACGAACAAGTTTACTTTACTATTACATTGCTTTTTAATAATTATTAATAACTTTTGCAAAACTAATAACTATTCTTTATGTTTTATTGTATTGTTAAATACTTGTGGCTACTAAAGTAATTACATTACATCACACTTACCCCCCCCCCCCACACATATACTTTTATAATATATTATATATTTTATTATATTTATACCAGTATTTTACCAGAATTGTTTTTAATATTTTTTTATTACTATTATATTGGGTCATGTCTGTCTACTGCCGATTGTACAATTATTTGTTATCAATGTATGTTATTTTGTTACTATGTCGCAACCGCTATATTTTTTTTATCCTCTTTTTCCCTAAAGTCTTATTTTTGAGATTTTTAAGTAACAAAAAAAATTAATATCTATTTAAATAAACAATTTGTAAGGCACTAGCAGTAAGGTAGCTCGAAAGAAAAATTGATTTTTTTGTTCACCTACCACAAAAAATAGATTGATCAAAATTTGGGATTTTTCGGTAATGTTTAACAGGTCGCTCAACGTGATTTAATTAAAATTGTAGGAGTTTTTCATTAATTTGCACAATTCTTCGTCTAGAACTAAAACTGTTCAATTATTTCAGAATCTGCCGGTTTTGTTAGAACCCTAAAAAGTTACTCTTT